CGGAAATAAACCTCCATTTGGTTATCAATGACAGACACTCGCAGATACAGTACAGACGTTTTATTATACACATTAGAAGACTGCAACATCACATTACTTTTCGTCATAATCGCCATTCAGATTGAGAGACTTTTCATAACATCTTACAAGGTTTGAAATTCCTTCTGCAAAAAAATCTCCTGCCTGGGAATGAAGCCATCTTGTAACAGCATTATGAAGCACACTGTCATCGTCAAAGTCATTTAAAAAAACAGTTTCATTTTCAATTGATCTAGCAGACGAGTCAACTGCAACACAACCTTCTCCTTCTGCTCCTCACTATCTGTTGAATTACTGTGCATGGCGCCATAGGACAGGCGTTGCTATCCCCGCCTATTTCTCACACATGCTCAAATGGAGATTTATTTCCAAATTACCCTCATACATTGTTATACTCAACATTCACCCAATTACATTGACATTTTCCATTGCATTTTGATCTTTGTCTAGAATTGATTCGATTATGTGATTTTGAAAATATTGTCCTGATTATGGTGGGAAGAATATGTGGTGGGAAAATTTGATTTCCTTCCTACACAATGAATGAAAACGGGGGAAAAATACAAACATAATTCTCTGCCTAGACTAAGTAAAAATGCTTCTTGTGCAGTTCCACCAACATCTAATCTGGGATGATTTCTGAATGATAGTAACTTGAATTCACCATTTCCAATGTTCAGTTCCAGAACAGAACTGTATTACTTTCCTTTCTTCATGCTGTTTTTTGTATTTGGTGTGTCCCCACCCACCACCTCTGCCAGTTTGGGAATAGGAATGAAAGCATTTACATTAAATAAATATCAGCTGCGTTTAACTACCTCATTTGCATTGAAATCTTTCCCCCCAAACTTTCCACTGTCCTTTCCAGTGATATCATTAGATACCCTAGTAACCCTTTGGTGGACTGAGCCAAAACAGATTATGGCAATAATTTTAACCCTTAATTTTCGCCCACTCTGAAAATTAGAACACAAAATCATATCATTAGACATGCAGTTTGCTATCCGCTAAGGCCAAATCATTTCTTTAAAACAAGTTCTTCGTCCATGGCATATGTCATTGAAGAAATATTGCCAGGTCTCCCCTCAGGAATAGCATTTTCCCTGAAGTCTCTAACCTTACTCTTTTCAGACTTGGCTTTTCTGGCAGGACATGATGTGTTTTTAAATTTCTTTATGTCACTTTAAGTCTTCCAATTAGGTGACTTATAAAGTGAATGCAACAAATAAGGGTGTGATTTCAAATTGCCTCTTATTTTAAAATTTCGTTCTCTGTTGCTGAATTGGAATTATATCCAGCTTCCCTAATATTTTAGGTTTTAGTGTTGATTATGACACATGTTCTCTTCTGTGTGTGCTACATAAAAACTATAATGAGTTTCACACTTACTTTTCTCACTGAATAAATTGAATTGTTTACAAAAATATTGAATGATTATTATAAACTAAACTATGAACAGTGCACTGAAATATGAACCTTTTACCAATCACGAGCCATCTATTCCCTGCCCATTTTAATATTCTGAAGTCAAGATAGTGCATAATTTTTATCAAGTCAAAAATTCTTTCCTAGACAGTGATGTGGAATGAATTAGGAAAGCATGAAGCTGAAAAGCTGGCCCAGTGCGCTGAAACAAATGCCTATCATATTAGAACACTGACACATATCCAGTTAAGAAGTTAAATGTTTTCATTCATCCTTCACATTTTCTTCCTGTAGTCACAGAAGAATGCACTCAGCATAGTAACAGCTGGCAATGCCAGAATGCAAATAATGTAGCTATGACAATCATTTAACCATATATATTTGAGGGCTTGGAAACTAGAAGAGGACATCCATGCAGGGAATAGTTCTTCAATTAGATACAGCAGAGAAATAATAGAGACAAATATCCATAGTGAACATTTGGTTCAGGCTTAAGAACAGAAGGACGGTAAATTCACCTCCTTTCGGGATGTGGATAGTAGTTTTAATGAGGATTTCATCCCATCTTCATCCCATTTCTGTTTTCGTTCTTTTTATCTATTATTATTTATCTATTATTACTATTATTAATTTCAATGTTTTAATTTTTAATATCAAATGTTCTAATATTTCTAACCTTCTTATGCCTATCCTGTTATTTATGATGCCATGAGCTGCCCAGAGTCACTTGATGGTGAGATGGGTGGCATACAAAATATATTTTTTAAAAAAATGTAAATACTGTATGTTGATTCACCACATCTAAAGCTTGTAAATTATTTGGGAAAGAGTTCACAACCTATAGAAAGAAATTTTAAAAGTCACTTTAAAGTGTGTTATTTTCAATGCAATCAGAGGTGTATTTGGTTATACCAACTTTACAATTAAGCTTTTGCCCTTGAATCACTATCACCATTCCAAAATTAGACTAAATATATTTGTATGTGTGTGTCACATTATGTTTTTTGACATGTATTTTGCAATGTAATGTTTTAATAAGACAAGCAAGTCATATTTACTACATACCTTTATCAAGGGATTGGCTGAAGTTGACTAGTGGAAATGTTCACAGAAGAAAATACAGACCTCTTTCTCTTAAAGTGTGAATTGGCATTTGACAAAAATAAACTTGAAAAGTCTATGCCAGATCTTGCTTCTTAGAATGGCTTGCTGTGGATTAGCAAGACTGACTGGGGTATCCGAATGACAAGCTCTTAAGAAATTGTTGGGGCCAACATCCTTTCCTTTCTTAGCTGTTTTTGTTAACACTAGTGTCCTCTACACATTTGTTTTGGGACTAAATTGTGTAAAAGTTTTGAAACAATCATCTTGCACAAGTTTTTCTGTTGTGTAAGATTTGACACAACTGGCATTTTGTCTTGTGTTTATGTCATTTACAGAGCTGAATTTTAATGTTGAATACAATGGGGTTTACTTTGGTATTATTTTTATCAACTGTGTTTTAAAGATCTAATTATATTATAAACCCCAGACTTACAAAATAATTAAAAGGAAGAATAAGCAGTTTTAAAAGACTGATGACTTTTCTCATTCTGTTTCTGATTTTCAGAAGGCAGTAAAGATAATTTTGGCATTCACTGAAAGACTTTAAAACATTTCATTTTCGAAAGGGCAGAGTTAATAATCTGACCTTTTAGAAAGCTCCAGTACCATTTCACCATGGCAAAGGAGGCCTTGTCCTTTGGAGATATATGTATGTATGTATGTATGTATGTATGTATGTATGTATGTATGTATGTATCTAGTGCCAAGCTTTCGTCGGCCAACTGCCAACATCATCAGGGCTTAAAACTGGTCGATGGGAGTTATTGTTTTCCTTCCCCCCCTTTTTGGCCATTCACTTCCTTCGTATGTGTCCAGTTGTTAATTCCCACCCTATTGAGTCTTGGGCTTGCTGTTCTTTCTTCCCCCTTCCTTTCAATCGTCCTTCTCATGTTTCCATGCTCATCCGCCATGTACTCATTGCTTTTTGGAGTCGCTGTTTCTCCCCTCCTTTTTTTTGATGTTTGCTTTATTCATATCACTCCGACCTTTGCATTGCATTCCACATTCTAATTCCTTCCCTCTCCTCACACTGGATCGCGTCCTTTCTCTCTCTATGGGGCTGTCAATGTGCTGTACGTTTAATTCCGTCCTCCTGGTTTTGTTGTTTGCCTCCACCCTATTGAGTCTTGGGCTTGCTGTTCCTTCCTCTCCCCTTTTTCTTTCAACTGTCCTTCCCATGTTTCCGTAGCCATCCGCCACGTCTTCATTGGTTTCTGGAGTAGCTGTTTTTTCCTCCCCCCCTTTTTTGACATTCACTTTGTTCGTATCACTCCAACTGTTGCATTGCATCCAACGTTCTGGTTCGTTTTCTCTCCTCACTCGGGATCGTATCCGTTCTCTCTTTATGGGGCTGTCAATGTACTGTATGTTTAATTCCATCCTCCTGCTCCTTCGCCCCACTGTTTCTGCGCATATGCGTGCCTTTTCAGTGCCGTCTGCCAAGCGTGTTCGAATGGCCCCTACAACATAAAGGTGGCCTACAAACCAGACCAGATGTTACACTCCAGAGTCATGCACCCCAAAGATTCCTCCCCAATGAGGAAAAATCATCAGTAGTATACAGGATTAACTGCAAGGATTGCCCCAGCAACTATATTGGGGAGATGTCTAAAAGATTAAAGACCAGGGTGCATGAGCATGGGAAACATGAGAAGGATGATTGAAAGGAAGGGGGAGGAAAGAACAGCAAGCCCAAGACTCAACAGGGTGGGAGTTAACAACTGGACACATATGAAGGAAGTGAATGGCCAAAAAAGGGGGGAAAGGAAAACGGTAACTTTGGGAACCAGTGGTGGGATAATGGACAATGTATAAAGGGGGAGACTGGAGGAAGGGAAGTGAACAATGGAACGGCAACCTTAAGGAATGTCAAAAAAACAGCCAATGCGCATTTCCTAGGAATCAAACAATTAGGATCATTGGATGGACCGATGACTAGGTCCAGGAGCCGTGTGCAAAACCGGCCAGTACTATAAAAAGAGACTCCCATTGACCTATTTTTAAGCTCTGATGGTGTTAGTAGTGCTGACTGAAAGCTCGGCATGTTATTAAATATTTTTAGTTTAATTTTATCCTGGTATTCATATTTATTTGTTTTTATCGTATGGTTTTACCCAGGATTTGAATTTTTAATGATATTAAGGATATATATATATATATATATATATATATATATATATATATATATATATATATATATCACACACACATCCCTAATAACTATAAAAATGTGAATCCCAGGCATATTTGTGTAATGGTATAAAGTCCTCGAACTCTGTTTTAAATTCATCCCAGAGTTTGAGGACTTTATACCATCTCTCTCTCTCTCTCTCTCTCTCTCTCTCTCTCTCTCTCTCTCTCTCTCTCTCTCTCTCTCTCTCTCTCTCTCTCTCTCTCTTTCTCTCTCTCACACACACACGCACACACACACACATTTTTTTTTACTAACCAATCAAACTAATATTTTTTATCTGATTTTCCTTTCTTTTGATAAAACACTAAAGGGGACACTACTTATTATTCCAGTCTTGAATCTACTTAGTTTGGAACAGCTACCTTTCTGACTGATGAAACTGAAGAGTTTGTTCTGAAGAAAATACATCAGCGTATGATTATAACCCATGGCTTTCCTTTTTTTTTTTAATCCTGTGACATATTTGCCATAATGATTATGACTACAAAATGCAAGAACATTATCAAAGTGCTGTTTTCTCTAAATTGGTATTCTATAGTTTCAACTTCCACATGACTGGCCATAGCTGAGGATTCTTTCATCCGAAGGGCACATGATTCTTTCATCCGAAGGGCACATGAATAGAGTTGGGGTGGATTGTGGAGCGTTTGTCTGGAAGGTACTGTAGTTTATCAGTTCTTGTAAATCTTCATTGTAGCAACAAAGAATATTCTTAAGATGTACCACTTTGATTTCTGGGATATTTTTCCCTATCTTAATCATTTTTGCTTATTTTCTTAGTAGATTCTAAGCTCATATTTGGAAAGATATTTGGTGTACCATAGTTACACGGTATGGTTAACTTAGGCAGCAATACTATGAATAACTTGGAGAGGAAGGAACTTTCTGCCTTAAATTCATTTTGATCAGAGCATCTGTCTGAACTTTGAAAGATAAGATAGAAAGGTGCAGGAGGCCATTTTCTAATACTTTTCTTTTGATACTATCTTGGCAAAATAACTGGGTTTTGTTAATAACAAGGAGAACAACAAAAACATAGACCCAGTTCTGCAATCTAAGGGATCCTGCTAAGGTTACTTGCTTTAATGTTCAAGGAAAAGAAAAACACTTAGAAGTGCAGCACTGAACCATTATGAATCAAAGGAATACTCTGTTTCCAAATGACACATCATGAACAGGCTTCTGCAGCAAGGGGTGCAACTTTGATTTGTGAGAGTCACAATGCAAAAGACAGCAGAGTGGTTTTTGTTAAGCACAATTCATTCTAGGCAAAAGATTATGTTCTCCAGTATGATGAATGTAGCATCCACCGGTGGGTAATCTCAGCCTTCCTGCTCATTTGAGACTAAGTCAGAATTTTAGCCACGCCTCCCTTGGGTGGTGCCTTTTCCAGTTTTTGACTTAGTCTCAGCTCAGTAGGACACAACTTTGTTTGGCTCCTCAGTTAGGCTAGTTAAAAAGAGAGATTTATTAGATTTGTTGTTGGTAGCTTGCATTTTAGGATTAGATATTAGTTTATTTGATATTTGTTAGCCAAAGTTTATTTGGTTTAAGGGAGCTCAGAGGCAGCTTAGGTGCCTTTTAGGTCCTAAAGGGCCCTTTCAGGCTCTCTCCGGGCCGTTTTTCAGCCACGCCGGATCGTTAAGGATTTCAGGACGGATCAGCTGTTTAGCGCAGAAATCGGCACTTTTATTTGTTGCTCGGGGATTCCCGGAAGCGCGGCTCGGTTGGGCAGTTTTGTTTCATCAATCTTGTGGCCACGAGGTCTCTGCCGGTGCACGAGGATCCAGATCACAGCTGAGGCTGCGCTACAAAACGCAAGTTGTTTGGCCTTATAATTGAAGGGGAAGGTAGCCCTTACTAATTTCAGCTCCCTCTGATCCTTTTTCAGGCTGAATGACCCAAATAGATGGCTGGATTGGTCGTTATTGCACCGCCATTTTGGGCGATGAGGAGACTTCAGGTCACCATTTTGAATTGCAGCAACAGGCGTCACCATTTTGAAGGCCCTCACGTGCCATAGCGGTGCGATTGGGCCTGATTCTACAAAAAAAATAGCCTGCTGTGCCAGGTTTTCAGGGGGGATTACTCAAGTTCTCCTTGCACATTTCTCTCTTGATCAGAGAAAATAGCTGACGAAGGGGGTGCGCCCGCCATTTTGGATTTCACTATTGATCACATATTCTTCACAAAGTCTCTTCCTTTGTATTGTCCTCTGAGGGGTTTTATTTAGAATCCACCTTCCTATTAGTTCACGGCACTGTGCCTGCAGGGCCTTGACAGGCAGTTCTAGTGAACTGTCTGGCTGTTTGCCATCGTGGTTCATCAGAGCGCGGGAACCTCCCTCTCTGATAACCAGATCTGCATGTTGTTTTTCCCCATTCCTGGACATCTCCTACCCGGAATATCCAGTATGCGATGGCGGACAGTGCAACTCCTCAGACATCGCAGGGCTCTGATGTTCTCCCTACACAAAAAAGCGCAGATCTTCTGAATTGGACGCGGGGGGAAAGAAAAAGGCCAAGACAAAGAACATAGAATATATGTAGAATATATGTAGAATATATGGCAGATGCATCTCTCCATTCTGCCAGGTATTCCGCCAGATCTGTTGCGCCCACTGTTTCATCCCACAGATTGCTGTGGTTGAAACAGCGGAGGGCAGATTTAAAATCCAAGTAGCGCCTATCAACAGACATGTACAGCGGTACAAAGCTGTTCGGCCCTATTCTAGAACCATACCTTATAGAGGGGAAGGATAAGCGCAAGATCCTTGTGCATCCCTCTAAGAGGCTGGACAAAAGGCCCCAGCAGGAATTCCGCAGGCAGGCCTTTTGTGCCGGAGGTTCCTGGGAGAGGAGGCAGCCCTTTTGGGCCAGACAGTCCTGGGAATGGACCAGAGTTTCCCGATCCTTCTCCTCCAGACAGGATCGACAGCAGGACCGCCAAAATCCGGGAACCAAGGGTCAGTTCCAATCTAAGTGTCCCTTTCAAGGTTCCGGGAGTCACCCTTACAGGGGGTCCAAGTGATGCCAAGGTGGTCCCTCCCATAGGGGGTTCACTTAATACTGTTCAGCGACACTTGGGAGGTTACCACCAATGACTCTTGGGTAAGGGAGACCATAAGATATGGTCTCGCTCTAGAATTTATAACCACCCCTCCAGACTGATTTCTTCAGTGTCCCACCTCAAGAAATTCAAACAAGGCCGAGTTGGTATCCACGGCCATATCCCATCTGTTAGAAATAGAAGCCATAGAACCAGTACCTCGGGAACAGAGAGGATGGGGATTTTACTCCATTCTGTTAGTGGTCCCCAAGGCTTCGGGTGGTTGGAGGGCCATACTGGATTTAAAGGGACTCAATTACTTCCTAACCTACAGGAGGTTCAAGATGCAGTCCCTCAAATCCATTCTGGCCAGTATCACAAAAGGGGATTTCCTCTCTTCTTTAGACCTGACAGAGGCATACCTCTACGTCCCTATCCTCCCACAACACCACAGATTCCTCCGGTTTTGTTACGTGCACTGGCATTATCAGTACAGGGCTCTACCCTTTGGGCTTTCATCGGCCCCTCGGGTATTCACAAAGATATTGGCAGTCTTGGCAGCCCATCTCAGATTAATTCTGGTGCGTGTGCAATGTTACCTGGATGGTATAATTATCCAATCCAGTTCTTTCTGTTCCGCCCAATCAGACCTTCAAATAACAATCAATACTCTTCAGGAGAATGGATTTTCCATGAATTTCAAGAAGAGTCACACAACACCTTCAACTCGCCTCTTTCACCTAGGAGCAATAATAGACTCAAATCTTTGCAAGGTTTACCTCTCATAGGAGTGCAAAGACAGTATCAAGTCATTTGTCCACAAGATACGGAGAGAGAAGGTGGTTCCACTGTTCCAGCTGTCTCAGCTGTTGGGGAAGATGGTTTCCTGTCTGGGGATCATTCCGTGGGCCAGACTACATTCCAGAGCCCTCCAGTGATTTCTTCTTCCTTTTCAGAAAAGGAATGTGAGTGCTTCCTCAAGGAAGGTGAGAGTTCCACATCACACACTGTTGTCTCTTCTGTGGTGGATGTCGTCAGCAATGAACAAGGGATCCCTATTCAAGGAGACTTCCAGACTCACCTTGACTACAGATGCCAGCCTGTTCAGCTGGGGCGCCCACCTACAGACTCACATGGCACAAGGTCAATGGTCCCAGTCAGATTTATTGCACAACATCAATTGGCTGGAACTCAGAGCAATCCATCTGGCACTCCATCAATTTTCCACTCTTGTGGCGGGAAAACACTTTCTTACACTGACGGACAACATAGCAGCCAAGGCCCATGTCAACAAACAAGGAGGGACTCGGTCGTGGCATTGGAGGCCCTGGACCTGGGTCTGTGGGCAGAGTCCAACCTGGAATCTATCAGTGTGGAGCACATATCTGGGGAAGCGAATCGTCAAGCCGACTCACTGAGCAGGGCCACAGTCGACCACTCGGAGTGGCGCCTGGACCCAGCCCTGTTCAAGGAGATCTTGATCAGATTTGGACAACCACAAGTGGATCTGTTCACCTCCCCTACAAATTCCCAACTACCCAGGTACTTCACAAGGTTTCCATCACCAGGGGTGGAGGGAACGGATGCTGTCTGCAGCAAGTGGCCCAAAGGGCTCCTTTATTCATTTCCTCCTCTTCCCCGATACCAGTGACAAGCTTCTTCAAGAACAGGCGGAAGTTATCTTAGTTGTTCCACACTGGCCAAGGCGACTGTGGTTTGCCAACCTCATGGATTTGTCTTTCTCCCCACCGTGGAAGATTCTGCCGGGCTGCATCTCTCTCAGTCAAGGGAGACTTCAACACCCAGACCCCCAGTGGCTTCAACTAGCTGCTTGGCACTTGAGCGGAACAGTTTAACCAAGCAGTCCTATTCATCTGGGGTGATCTCCATAACCCAAGCCAGCCATCGACCAATAGAATCTATGATGCCACGTGGAAGAATTTCTGCACGTGGTGTACTACACAAAATCTTAGACCGTTGGCGGTCACCATTTCTGACATATTAGATTACCTTTTGGAGAGCCTGAATAAAGGTCTATCACATAGTACCATCCGCGGACAGGTTGCGGCCTTGTCAACAGTTCTCATGTGTGACAATCTAGTCCCATTATCACAGCACCCTGCAGTTGCTGCCTTTTTAAAAGGGGCGGTTAACGCTAAGCCTCCTGCGGTGCATTGCTATCCTTCATGGGACTTACTAAGGGTGTTACAGGCCCTCATGTCGTCACCGTTTGAGCCCATCCGGTCTTGCTCTCTTCACTTCCTTTCTCTGAAGGTTGCCTTTCTGGTAGCCATCACATCGGCAATGGACATTTCATAACTGGCCATGCTCTTGGTTAGAAGTGACCTGTGTATGTTTCTGGATGACAGAGTGGTCCTTAGATTGGACTCTTCTTTCATTCCGAAAGTCAATACCTGGTTTCATAGGTCTCAAGATTTGATGTTTCCAGACTTTTGTCCCAACCCGTCACATCATCTGGAGAGGTTGTGGCATAAGTTAGACATGCACAGGGCTCTGCACCACTATGTTAAGTGGACTGGCACTTTTTGCAAGTCGGAGGCCCTGTTTGTGTCTTTCCAGCCCTCTTCCATGGGTAAGAAGGTATCATCTTCAACCATTGGAAGATGGATCAGGGCTTGCATCGCTCACACCTATAGATCCCGGTGCCTACAAAAATCACCGCTCATTCTACGTGCAGCGCAGCCACATCAGCAGCCTGGTCTACAGGCTTCTGTTGAGGAGATCTGTAAGGCAGCGACCTGGTCATCTCCCTCTTCATTTATAAGGCATTACAAACTTGATAAGTTTGCTGCAGCGGATGCCTCATTTGGTAGAAGGGTCTTACAGCAGGTAGTTTCCTCACAAGGGATACATGCCTAGACTTTTCCTCCCCGTAGAGACATGGGTGGCTTTGGTATGTCCCACCGGTGGTGGATGCTATATTCATCATGCTGGAGAAGGGGCGTTGTCTTACCTGAACACCTTTTCTCAGCATGATGATGTAGCATCCACACCCACCCTTAACAGGCAGTCTAGGCAGGTGCAGTTACAGGAGGAGCCATTGTGTCAGACTTTGTCATGGATGCTTCACCTCATCAAAACTGGGAAAGGCACCACCCAAGGGATGCGTGGCTAAAATTCTGACTTAGTCTCAACTGAGCAGGAAGGCTGAGATTACCCACCGATGGATGCTACATCATCATGCTGAGAAAAGGCATTCAGGTAAGACAACGTCCCTTTGGGATTGCATTATGTATTGAAAATAACCATTGAGGGGGTCAATATTATCAGAAAGACTCCATCAAAGAGCCACTGTTTATCAGGACTGTGTGGGCTGCTTGTTTTCCTTGTAGTTCCACCTTGCCTACTCTACAAGGTTCCATCCAAAAAAGGTGCTGGAAGTCTGTTCTGGGCGTTCTGTGAGAAAAAAAGCCCTGGTTCCACCAGTAAATGATCAGAAACCCAGAGATTGTGCCTGTCACCATGTCTGGAGTCAAGAGAAATGAAGCAACAGAGAGTTAAACTGTGTTCAGCAGCTGCTGGGGGCCCTTACAATATAGTTTGTTTTCAGAGATTATTCAGTTTACTACCCTTCTTTCATGATTGCTAGGATCATCCTGGCTCATTGGTTATCTCTCCAAGGTTTTACAGGCCATCAAACAAAAAGAACCTTTCAGCACCTTCTAATGTCAAACACATTTTGCAGTTCCCATGTGCACTGCAAGTCAACATTGCCTGTATGTTTTAGGAAAAGAATTGAATGTGGAGCAATTGTGTGGTTTACCTATGTTAAGTGGGATTTTTGCCTTCAAGGACATCCTTGACTCTTATCTGTTAATAGATATTTATTGAAGAAAAAAAAGGAGAGCTTTAACATCCATATTGTCAGTAGTGTGTGTGTATTTATACCTGTTATCATATTTACGCATACAGTCATTGTCTTTGTAAATGGTGCTTGAAGAATGTCACAGTATGATTTCAACCAACCCTTTTTGAGAGAAAGCTCTTTCTAATGTATAGTCATATTTTATCTTTTCATCAAATAAGATCAAATGAGGGTTGTTAGATTTTATAGACTATGTGATGGGGCATTGCTTCACTAGTTGAATCTTCAGGCTAAATGCTCATTTTGAATAGCAAGTTAAATACTAAAGTATCCTTTAGAAGTGACTAAACCTTTTATCTGTTTTTGTTATTTGGGTCTTTAAAGAATCCCTCTAACATTTAAAGACAATGGGCTTGTTTTTAATGGAAATATTTTTTAAATAAAATTTTCCCGCAAATCTATAGTTCGTAAGAAACATACATAATATGCAAACTGAGTATTATCCAGAAGAATTTTTTTTCAATCTTTGGTTTCTTATATTTTCAGCTAATTTTGATAAGGTTCAATCTCTTGATACTGTACAGGTGACAAAAAGTTTTATTTATCAAAAAGTTCATATACAATTTTGAGTTGTAGGCCATTGTAGCCGAGGTGGCGCAGCAGTTAGAGTGCAATACTGCAGGCCACTTTAGCTGACTGTATTCAGCAGGTCAGCGGTTCAAATCTCACCGGCTCAAGGTTGACTCAGCCTTCCATCCTTCCGAGGTAGGTAAAATGAGGACCCAGATTGTTGGGGGTAATGTAAATATATATATACATTGCTTACTGGTGTACACCGCTTAGAGAGTGCTTGCACTTAAAGCGGTATATAAGTCTCATAAATAAATAAATAAATAAATTGTTGATGCAATTGACTCTGGTCACGTAGCAGGAAGCCTTGACATGGATGCTGAATATTCTCTCTCCCAAAGCTAGACTACCCCATTTCTCCAAAAGACTCAAGCCTTAGGTGTGACAATGTCAACAGTACAAATAGTTACAGTAAGTAGTGGCTAAAAGTCACCAAATCATAAATCAGCAAGTCCTTGACTAAAAGCAAAGGAATAATTATTTCCTGTGATTGGCCTTGCTTAACTAAAATGATATTCTGAAGAAACAGGGAAGTGAATAATCAAAGTGAAAGATAAGTAGAACCATCTGAGGAATAAGAATACTTAATCATTCTAGAAGAATACTTCAACTTTACAATAAAGAATGGAATTGCCACATATGAGATGTTCAGAATCAGAAGTAATGTATGAACTATATGAACATATACTTTCCTTAGTGTAGAATCTGTATCCTCAGTTGAAGGAGTAAACAAGTATGTCTTTGAGAAATTATCATAATATTTTTCCTATCATAATGCCATTCAGATCTTTTGGATTTCAGCTCTGATAATACCCCATTAATACAGTCATAACTGAATTCACAAAGGGAGACTGGAAATTATAATCCAGCTCATCTAGATGGTGACAGATTGTGGGATGATTGCTTTTAACAAATTAAACTGTAGCTTCAGTACTTCAGGAAGTGATTAGAATTAGATTTTAATCTGAACTGATGTTATTGTATGCTCCTGCGATGGATTTCAGTCTATTCTTTGTGTTACTCCTTACAAGACAAGACATAATTGCTTTATGAACATAAATCAATCTTTCCTCTTGAATAAAATCTGAAATAAACTTTTCTGAGAAGATAAAAAAGCATTGATAAGTATGTAGCTATGTATCTTCTCAACCTGCCTCCAATCCATTGATACTCATTTTTTAAAAAAAAATATTCAGGATTTCAGCTATCAATTTTTATCGGTAAGATTCAAAGTCTGCTTTACATTTGCAAGTTTATATTCCTGCAATAAATGTGTGTGTGTTGCAGGAGAATTTGCAAGATGCCTCATAAAAAACTATAGCAGTTTATTGGAAACTATATGTAATATCTCTTATGAGGCATTCCTATCTCTTTGATCTTTATGGTCCAGACAGATTTGCCTGAAGGAGTATAGGAGATGCATATTTCAGACACTCCTAGAACATTGCCTTTGAACTGTATATCTTATTGAACTTTTAGAATCCCTTTCTGAGAAATATTTTTCACCATTAACAAAAACCATAGCAAATGTATGTATATCATCAGAGAAAATGGCATTTTACAGAGTTTCCAAAAGCCAATCTAAAAATAGATTTGTGTCAGGAAAGAACTTAAATAGATCACAGGGGAGGGGAGTAGGAAGAAAGTACAGAAGTAGATATGCAACTGATTCAGTGTGGTGGATAAAACATAATTATTGATTGTGAACAAAATGAACCACTTGACCAATACTCTTAATTTATTCAACTTTATCTTTGTTCAGAAGGAATCTGAACATTAAAATGTCATCAGTTCATGATACTCAATGAGGCTTCCTCTTTGAAGATGCACACACTTAAGATATGAATGGAAAATTTTTCCCTGACCAGGTTTTCCCTGTGCAGATATTCAACATATAGGGCCTGATAATATGGAGCTGTGAAGGCATGTCATAATCAGATGGGATACACTGTTTGGTAGGGAGGGAGTTTTATACTTTTTTAAAAAAATACTTCTATATTTTTACCTAAGTGTTTATAGCAAATCATTTACTAATTACATTTCTTTTTTACTCCATGGCTCTAATCCTATGTCAGATTGATTCTGGGGTATGGTTCTCTGTGACCTTATTTTTGCAACTGGTCCAGAACACCTCAATGTTCATGGAAGTCTATGGACTGATGGCAGTCAAGCAGTGTCTTTATGTGATCTGCCCTTTGAACTAAGAGAAACCATTATTAATAATTTAAAACATGAGAAGCAAAGAGTGTTGTGCTTCACAATGTGGTAGGATTTAGGTGACCTTGTCTGCACCCAGGAGCTAAGCAAAATTGGCCCTGGTTGTTACTTTCATGGGAGACTCTCAAGGAATACCAAAATTTTAAGAGAAAATAATGGCAAACCACACCTGCACTGTTGCCAAAAAAGTACATTGATGAGTCTATGAAGTCCCCAAGAGAAAACACAATTTGAAGGAGATTTTACTTTCATTCGCATCATTTGTGCTGATAATGTTACCTTTCTCTGGATGTCTATAGTACAGCATCCAGGACAATGGTACTGTCGTTTTATTTTAACCTTATAAATCACACCATCCATTTGCGCTATTCCAGGAAACAGAGGGACTTCAGCAAGAGCTTTCATTACAGTCAATACCCCACTGTGATTTCCATTCCCTGCTTTGTACTTGTATTGAATTACTGTAAGATTGGCACAAGAAAATAAAGAAAGGAGAACAGGAACTTTGTAGGGCTATAGGCAAGGTAAGTCAAGTATCCCCATCCCATACCAGAATGTGGATTTTTAGATGTCCAAAGTGGAGTGGTTTTAGCACAAAGTCTGCTTGTAACAGACTTAAGAATGTTGTGAGACAGACATTCAGTATAGGTGAGCCTCCCATAACCTGGTATAATTCTCCAGGTGTATTTAGATTACAATTGCTATAGGGGAAAATTGTCATGGAGGAAAATAATCTGTGTAGTTCCTAAGAGTCAACACTGATTTAGTAATATAGTAATAGTAATAAAGTTGGAAAGGACCTTGGAGGTCATCTAGTCCAACCCCCTGCTCGGGCAGGAAACCCTACACCATTTCGGACAAATGGCTGTCCAGTCTCTTCTTAAAAACTTCCAGTGTTGGAGCATTTACTGCTTCTGGAGGCAGGCTGTTCCACTGATTAATTGTTCTCACTGTCAGGAAGTTTCTCCTTAGTTCTAGTTGCTTCTCTCCTTGATTAGTTTCCACCCGTTGCTTCTTGTCCTGCCTTCAGGTGCTTTGGAAAATAGCTTAATTCCCTCTTCTTTATGGCAGCCCCTGAGATATTGGAATACTGCTATCATGTCCACCCTTGTCCTTCTCTTCGTTAAACTAGACATACCCAATTCTAGCAACCGTTCCTTATATGTTTTAGCCTCCAGTCCCCTAATCATCTTTGTTGCTCTTCTCTGTACTCTTTCTAGAGTCTCAACATCTTTTTTACATCGTGGTGACCAAAACTGGATGCAGTATTCCAAGTGTGGCCTTACCAAGGCATTGAAGATTGGTATTAATACTTCACGTGATCTTGATTCTATCCCTCTGTTAATGCAGCCTAGCACTGTGTTGGCCTTTTTGGCAGCTGCCGCACACTGCTGGCTCATATTTAAGTGATTGTCTACTAGGACTCCGAGGTCCCTCTCACAGTTACTACTATTGAGCATGGTGCCACCTATGCTGTACTTGTGCATTTGGTTTTCTTGCCTAAATGTAGAACCTTGCTTTTTTCACCATTGAATTTCATTTTGTTAGTTAGTGCCCAGTGTTCAAGTCTGTCCAGATCCTTCTGTATCTTAAGCCTGTCTTCTGGAGTGTTGGCTATTCCTGCCAGCTTGGTGTTGTCTGCAATTTTGATGAGTTCCCATCTATCCCTTCATCCAAATCGTTGATGAAGATGTTGAAGAGCACTGGGCCAAGAACAGAGCCCTGGGGCACCCCACTACACACTTCCCTCCATATAGATGCAGTTCCATTGAGGACCACTCGCTGAGTACGGCCGGTCAGCCAGCTACGGATCCATCTGGTGGTGGTTCTGTCTACCCCACATTTAAATACATCTGGAGAGCATCAGGATGGGAAAAACTGTTTTGTCACAGGGGCAAATGAAATATTGACTGTGTTCAGATAACACAGTTGCAGGCAGCCATAATTAAAATATGAATATCCCCAGGAGTTTCTCTCTGCAAAAGACATGAATGGATATTATCTGCATGGCTGGTTTTTATGCTGTCATGCCCAACATGGTGTACCAGTTTCTTTCAATTGAAGCCTGGAAGAAAGGGAATCCTTGACGTACTTTTAAAATAAACCAAAGATGGTTGTCATATAGGTATATCACTCCTGAAGGAGAAGTACCTGTTGACAGTAAAATATTATACAGCCTGTGTTTAAATGTATCCATTATGCTAACTGGAAGTGAGTTAATGTATAGGAAGGAGTTAATGTATATTGAAGGGAGCGTGGAAGAACAGGCTCATAGCACCTTAAAAGAGGGTTAATTATTTTACCCCAGCTTTGTTCTGCTGGCAACTGCACACCCCAGAGCAGAAGTAGGTGAGAAGCTACTGTTTTGATTTTGTGAAGATTACTGTATGCCTTTGTGATTTCTCAGTGGAAACCCTCATTGGCACATAACTAACATATATAGCCTGCAGCAGGTGTGCTTGGTCTGTGATGAGCAAGGAAGATAGCAACAAGCAACAACAAAATATCATCAAAGAATAAAACTTTGCATCTTTTTCACTCTCCTTCAGATATTCTTCCAATATTCTTTTTTCTTCTTCACCTGTCTGGTGTCCAGTCCAAATTGTTCTGCTATATCATGGCTACATATACAGACAGTGTTAAGCAGTGCTTCTATTTCAGATGGTGTTGACTTATTCAATATTGTTGAAAGAGGAATCAGTGCAAGGACTAATAGTACCAGTGAGCGTGAATCTCCTTGAAAAATTTCTGTCTTGATATTCTCCTTTCTCCCATTTCTCCCATTCTGTCACCATTGACCAGTACTCGGGTCTTCTCTTGTGCCATCAGTCTTTGCATAAAGCTTTTGCTGTTTCTTCTGACTGCTATTATTTCTAGACATTTGAT